TCTAATCAAAGAGACAGAAATCAGAGAGCTGTTTTTCTTTTTCAGTTTTAGGATACATATACCCATATTACTCCTTTTTGTTTCATTACTTTTTATGTTGAAGTAAAAATATAATGGGCAAACACACTTCCCCCTAGCTGTGGAAAATATTGTGAAGTAGAGCAGTGAATTGTGAGGAGACTTCAGCTTTGAAATGTTTGCCTAGATTTTACTCCAGTAAAGAGACTGCCCACAACTTCAGGTGGACGGAGTTGTTCGTAGTTCTTGGACTATCACTGTCACTAGTTTTACATCTTGTATTGATTCATTCTCTTTAAACATTATAGGTCTGTATTACACAGCTTGTAGGGGAGTTAACTGCATCACTTAGGGCCGGGGGGAGGACGTAGCTCGAAGAAGGGGACTGCAGCAAAAGCACATGTACAGTGAGACACAACAACAAGAAAGAGTTTTGGTGTTCCTAAAGCAGGGGAGAGCAATTATTTCAGGCGGAGGGCCACATACTGAGTTTCGGCAAGCCATCAAGGGCCACATTACAGGCAGCCAGGGGTAGATATATATTAATTTTCTAAATTTTGTGGGGCCCCACGGGCCAGATAGAATGGCCCAGTGGCCCGCATCCGGCCTCCGGGCCCCTGTCCTAAAGGATATCCAGAAGCCCATCTAGAAGAAAAAGGCTGCAGCCTTAAAGAGCTGCTCCCTCAGCAGCTGGAATCAGGATTTTCCCCCACTGTGCCAGAATATAGACCTTTCTGCCTCTAACCCTTCCACTGTCACTGTCTTTCCCACTGCAAGGGCAGGTTGGAAGAGGAGGCAACCAGGATGGGGGCAAAAAACCGATGTGCCGATGCTATGCATGGCTCTCCATATTGCTGTTTTCTTGGGACAATCTCCGTGCAGGGTTGTGCAGGGGACCCTCACGCTCCCAAATTTGATGAGGAGGGAGAGGGGTTCATCTCTAGACAGAGATTTATTCAATACATGTAAATCTACAGCTCTGTCTATGTGTCTACACACCAGTGGAATCAAAATGTGTGGCAGAGGTGATATCCTTTATTAGACCAACTAGACATTTGCAAAAAAAAAAAGTCTGTATTTGCAAGCTTTAAAAGATATCGCCTCTGCCACAAGTTTTGATTGCTTTTGCCTCTAGACCAATGCGGCTACAACCTGGATACCCTCTACAGTCTACACACCAAAGAATTTCAAATGAGACAAAACAGCTTAAAATTCACCAGTGTAAGCACACGAGAGGCAAGGATTTCTCGGAGCAATCTCTTTTATGTCCTGCCGCTGGGATAGGGCTAGCCGAGGAAGACCCTTTTCCTCAGGTCTCAGCAGCTGTGGACGAACCTACCTACCTGTGTAAACACACACACACACACGATTGATTTCTCCCTGACACGACCTCTGCCCACTTGCCTCCCCTCTCGCCCTGGGTTAGTTACCCCAGGCTCTTCCGCCCTTACATTAACTTCTCTGTAACTTCACTTCAGCCAGACACCTTTTCACCCTAAAATCCGGACATGAGCACACCACCCCCCTCTCCCTCCATGCTGCCCCGGCGCCCTGCAGCCTCCCCTGCACCCCCCGGCCCTCCCAGGGCTGGTGACAGGTGGGAGCCTGCAGGCCGGCTCCCGAGCAAGCACTGGGTGGCGGGGCTGGCACGAGCGGGGCTTACCCGGCGGGCGGGCCGGCGGGCCCCGGGCTCTCCATGGCGCTGCGGCCGCCGCACTCAGC